TTCTGGCTGCTGCTGTGTGTGTGTGTATTGTAGGATCTGCTATGTATGCATGAGCCCGGAGACTGGGCGGGTGGAGAGAGATCCAGTAGGCCTGTAGAGTGGTCAGCTTGCTGCCGCGTATGGCGAAACCTGGTCCCTTGGTCAAAGCTGAACCAGAGCGTAGCCGCAGCGCAGTGGTGGCGGTGGCTACGGTGGCAAGTGTAACACATCCAAGCTGTTTCGGTAAAACACGGCCTAAGCGACGCCTCTGCTGGCTTTGTTGCTAGTAGAAAGATTTCGGAGGAACATACGGTCTCATTCTTCAGGGCTGAAGATAGAAGTAGTTGAATATTGAGGCAGAATGTTTAAATGCTTACAGTAGGCCAGTTTTTTTTTTGCGAATCTCTGTACAGGTGACTCTCATTATACGGCGTATTCTAAGACTGGAAACGTGGATTTTCTGAGTTTTGCACCATAAGAGGCCTTAATCTATAGTCCGCGCGCGCAGTTTAATGGTCCAGCTTCTGCCATGGCCACAGATGAGATATTGATGCTCCTAATGATCCTGAAATAAGGTCGCGAAATGCGAGAGTTACGTGTACAGATCAGAGAATTAAAAATAATGGGCGTCATTGTATTTATCTCCATAATGTAGGCTTGTGTTTTCAGATTTCGGTTACGACAGTTTTGGTCCATCATTGACACTTCGACATTTTCATGCCATCGATGTTTCTTTGTTTTGTTTACGAACTAGCAAGAGGTGCCAACACTCCAAAAATATGAGGTACAAATTTTTGAACAAATACATGATCTTCGAGAAAATTTGCCAGGTAAAGAAAGTGATTAAGTAATGTTAATTATGTCGCGGTTTAATTAGACTGTAATGCTTGATTATACACTTTTGCTGTGAAGTAGATGCTTGATAATACTGTGGACCACATATAAAGGTAAAGCTGGACCAGACTGTGGTAGGATACCGCTCCTGTGGCCGAGGCGAGATGGAGGGAGAAATGGCAATCTCATTTACATGGAAATGAGATGGAAATTGTTCGTATATTTTCGACGCCGGTTTATTATTATGGTTTAATACTTGCATGCAATATAATCCGACCATCATGTAGGGTATGGGAAGGGAGTTGTGCGGGTTAGTGGAGGGGGTTAACGTGGTAGCTAGGGGCTCAGCTAATAGGTTGTTATCCGGTTGGTAAAATCCCCATATGACGTCCACATACGCTAGGGTATGGAACGGGTCTAGGATCATTACTAGGTGGTCGTCCTGATATTCTGTAGTAACGCTAACGTTTCGTGTTAACTACACTACCTGTACCACTATATAACGTGTCTGCGATGGACATTTTCCGTGCTAACCATTATCAGTGTCATCTTTATATTCTCTGATTTAAAAAAAAATGTGTTTTGGGGTCACCGTATACTGCAGCTCTGTATTTGAAACACACTCCTTCCCACTTGCAGGTATTCGCAAATATAAGTTGTATTAGCTAGTTAATGTCCTGGAGTGAGTAAGGACCTTTGAAACTTTTATTAAATTCTATCGCGAAGCACGGCGCAACATTCCAGCAGGCATCCATCTTCATACAGTGACTTGTTTATTACAAATTCACTAACGTGTCGTCTGGGGGATGGATAAAGGGCCCTTTAGAGCCCCAGTTTTATAGAGACAGTCGCACCTCATCGTAACAGTACCAATACTAAGATACAAGGAGAGATGTGGATTTCTGAAAGACTGTATTTACCCTGTTATTCAGGTTAAAGGGGCTAAAAAATTGGCTAGCAGTTTAGTCGTGCAGAGCGTATGGAAGTAGAAAACATGAAATTGAGGGTGGAGGGGGGGGGCGCAAGATAAATTCCACTTGAATAGCACGAGTTAATAGCAGCAGTTTAGAAGCTGTGTAAAAAGAAAATGCATAGTAGTAAAGGGGGATGAAGGGGGAGAAAACACTAGATTTTATTTCACCACTGCCAGCATTCTACAACCCACCCTTTTATGAATAGAGACGACCCTACTTTTTCATGTTTTTTTTCCTTTCTTTTATTCAAGTGTGTGTGTGTGTGTGTGTGGTTTTTTTTTTTTTTTTTTTTTTTTTCTTTTCACCCTGGCAGTCTTCCATCCAGTTTGGAGTGGTGAAGAGGTAGAACTGACTCCCTGCTGATCTGGTCCATGAGGATCAGAAACAGGAAATGATAAATAAGAAAAATAACAGAAGTGAAGGAAAAAGCCTGAAGATATTGTTTTATTTACCCGCGAACTCTGTGTTTGAGATTATCATAATTCATCTTTCATCTCCATGGTTTAGGTATTTTGATTTATGCAAATGGTTGCCAAGTCAACCTACCGGTGTTGAACGTAAGTTGTAATTGAAGTCTTTCAGAGATATTACTTTGCCGCCTTTGAATAGTGATTAATGTCGAGGATTTTTTTTTTTTGCGTGATGTTCTCCTTACTATTTTGTGCATTTATTGTCTTTGTTCGTCGCCATCATTCTCATTGGCCATGGTTACGAGCATACCAGCCTCTGATCTGTCACATTCAATGTGTTCATTTACATTGTGCGATGACTGGTGATTTATACGGCAACAAGGTGTTATAGCTCTCTAAATTTAGAAGTTGAGGTGCAGTGACTGTTGACTGGTGGCAGGTGCCGGATGTTAATAATGCTGGAACCAACGATCAGTCAGCATCTGCCTCAAAGCCAGAAACATCGTCTCGCCGAGGGCAATTGATGCATCACATGGGTCAACTGTGGCTCCGTGCAGAAGTACGCGATTTGGAGTCTCGAGTTCGACATCGAGGTGCTGCCTTTTCACCTTACCTTGCTGTTGATAGTGATGCCCTCATTCATCACATGCACTTTGTGAAACAGTTGGTTGGAGCCCACAAATTCATCATCCTCATTCCATCTGTTGGTATGTACGGTCTTTTAACATCTGACTTTTTTTTTGTAGTGGAATCAAGTATGAGCAATCTCTGCTTACTGTTTGTGTGTGTGTGTGTGTGTCCCCCCCACCCTGGGTGATATTCATCTGTTGAATGTCACTACAGTCATTAGTAACTGTAATTCACTTACCTTCAAAGTGTTGATCCTATTAATATACATTATTAACTTCGCCAGAAATTGTTACATTACATTACGAAGGATATTACAGATCTTGTCGCGCATGAAATTATAAATCTAAAATTAATGTAGATACTAAGCACGTTTCTTCCGGTCTCATAGTCGCGTATGATACCATATTCACACGAAAATTGTTAGTTTAACCACATATTTTAATATATTTAAAAAAATTAGAATATTTGTTTAGTTATTTGTGATTAGAAAACAATACGACCCTCTGTTCTTACTGTCCAACAGTTTATACAGGTAAACTTTGCTTTGAGATTTTTATCTCCTATGCAAATTACAGACTAGAATGACTGGGGAAAAGAAATGTTTGCTTATATGTTACGGAATTCTCAGTTCTGTCAGCACTAGACGAGTTGAAGAGAGAGGTCGGAAAAGCTCGTGAGACAATTCGTTGGCTTGAATCTCAGTTCCAAAGAGGTAACCGTTTCCTGCGAGCCCAGCGATCTCATGAGCGTCTTCCTCTGCCCCTCATCAAGTACCCCAAGAAGAAGGATAAAGAGGCGTGGTAAGTTGATTTTATTTCGGATGGAACACTTATTGGTTATGTTCATTGTGTGAATTGTTTACCAAGTTTAAAGGTTTTTATTTGGTCCACTAGAATGAACTTCATCTGATGTTAAAAGACACGTTTATGAAGAAGGTTAAAGTGTCGTGTTTGGGCGTAATGTATTAAATTTATCGCTTGATGAGAACTTAAGAAAGGACGGCTTGTTAGTTGCTAACAAATGGCAGATGAGTACCTTAAATTCAGGCCAGAACTGCTTCCTTCTTCCATATCCTCTCCACGTCATTATTGATTCTGATCCTATATTCAGCGCTGTTTAATCTGAGCTACTGACAGTGCCTTTGGTTAAACCATAAATAAAATAACTAGCATCCCCGAAAAACAGGAGTCATCGATTCACAGTTAAGGGAGGTAATCGTATTGCAGGCTGTTTTTCCAAGTGGTAGAATGCTGCCACTATTTCAGCCAGCAGACCGGAGTACATGAGAGACATCCTGAGGTAGCCCTGGTTACACTTCTGACTGGGGGTGGCGCCAAAGACGAAGCCAGTAAAGGCTTCAGTTTCTTGGGGATTGCCACATCAGCAGGTAATGATATTGTCTTACAGTCATTTTTATGTCAGTGCAAGTGATAGCTGGCGTAGTTTATTCTCACTTCTCAAATTATATCGATGATAGTTTTGCTATAAAATTGCTGTCTTCTAGTCTGGTAGAAGTCTGCTGACATTTCAGAGGTACTTGCTGCCTTCATCATCAGGCCGATGGAGGCAGCAGGCTCCTATAAACTTCTACGAGACTACAAAGCGTCACAACCCAGAAGACAGACGTCTTTATTCAAAAAATATATTAATTCCAGGCATCAACTTGGAGCATATAGAGTCATTTCACGCTAAATGGAAAACATCGAGTAAGAGCCATGGCTGACTCCTCACTTCCTGTACCAGCGAGAGAAGCTGGACGAAGCTACGACGACGACCACCACCGCCCCTTATAGCTAAGGAGGAATGCTGGGCAGAAGTGGGGGGGGGGGACATTGGGTGTAAGACAGATGACAGAAAACGAGTGGGGAGAGAGGTACAAGTTGTAATTGGCTATCGATACAGGGAGAGCGTAATTCTGTAATGATTACGTTTGATGCAGTATAATCGGTATATAATGTTTTTTCATTGAATAATCAAGTTTACTGCTGTATTTTGCTTTGGATTTAAGTTTGTGGAAAATTTTTAAACTTACGTCAGAGAGCGCGTGGAGATTTCTCGATAATGTTGTACGGGTTATACTGTAAGTCGCGCGGATGGATTCGGCGAGAAGGCGAAGTATCCCGACTGATTTCAGATAATTATTTAAGTATTTCCAGAATCTAGGTGTTATTCTATCTTTCGTTTTAATTAAAATAAATATATGTAACACTATGCGCATTTGCGTAGATCTTTCTACGTTTCCTTCGTAATACTTTCCTTGTCTTTTGAAACTTGTGCGCAGGATTGGCGACTCTTTAATTTTAACTTCTAATGGGTGCCAATGGTGTTATCAGTCACAGAATTTGCAGGATTGATGACGGTATGAAAACTGAGGGGGGGAAAAAGTAATCTTAAAGTTTTATTATGTAACGGTGGGTATCCAAGACATTGTTTATAATATCGTGTCTTAAAATTATGTATTATTCAGAATATTGACTTGTTTTATTTACATTCTACCTTTTTCCTTCTCCATACGTCCTGTTGAAATTAGAACTGTCCTTATAATTTATAGAACTAATGTTATCTTTCAAACCAAAAATTAGTTTATTTTTGGGAAACATTTTATTTTGTGGTTATATAACAGGGTAAGTTGGAAGCCTTTCCTAGAATGTCGTGTGTTTGTGCAGGCCCAACATCTTATTATTTCGGCGTTTTCTGTTACCTGTAGACATAGAACCATCCCAAAAAATAAAAATGGCTGTCTTCCGGGTTATAACACTATAGTTTCGTAGTTTACCAGACTACGTGAATCTACAACCCAGAAGATGGCTGTCTTCATACTTGCCACCATGAGAACATTACCCACGTCACATGAAATAACGTTAGTATTCAAGAGTTTGTTCCTTTTATATGGGAAGGTTTTGTATCTGTAGCCCTTTTTTGAGGGGCGCACTCAAAATATATCCGTAATAGGTGACAAGTTTCCCAACCACATCAAGGTAAAGATGGAGGCAACAAGCACCTCGCAGTCACTGGTAGACATGTACCAGATTAAATGGCACATCTCGGAAGACATATTCATAATCACCACCTTCAGAACCTGAAATCTAACCTATTATACCGTCAGGTAGGTTGTGGCGTACAAGCTAAACGCACGCTGTAGAGCATACGTTCTTCTGAATTTCGTCTTGGCAAATACTGCGTTATGTGAAGTCAATGATCTTTGGCCCTGCAGATCCCAAATCTTTAATTTGATCTTGCGTAAGATTAATGTAGTGAAGAGTTGTATGGCAGTGGGACTTGAACCCAAACAGCTTGATCATAAAATTAAGGAGAGAAAAGAAAATAGTTCCTCACGTTACAACAGAGTTTTGACGGTACTGATGGCTGTGTTACTTACAAATATATTTTTCTTAAAAATGAAGTACGCTTTTAAAAATATTTTATGTAAACCCTCTCTACAATCATAAAAATACGTCCAAAGTGACTTTTGGCACCGTGTTTATACTAGACTGGTCAATTGATACCAATGTTATTGTCAGGTCGGAGAAGGCAGATGTGCACATGCTCGTACACATTCAGGAATACCATGAAAGCTTCCATCATAAAATTAGGAATGTTGGCTGAAATTAAGTTAGTTGGAAACTAGTTGCTCTCAAAATAAATATTACTGACATTTGCCAGATGTAGCGAACCTGTGATTTGATGCCAATAATTCAACCAGCATTGATGTATATTTAATTAAAAGCAAAAGTGAAGTACAGTATTATGGTTATTATTATTATTAGTGTTCTGTCTGACGACAGGTCCATATGAACAGGATCCTTCCATCCTTTTCTCGGACTGGGACCTGTTCATATACGTTCTTGGCAGATGATCCAGAAGTGGTTTGCCATTGCCTTCTTCTGTGTGTGAATGGAGTAATTTTGGGATGCCACGGAGAAACCGGGGAAGCCCCCCGGAGGAAAACTCCGTGTTGCCTAGACCACGGCCTTGCCCAACACAAGTTATAAATTCGGGCACCGCCGGGAATCGAACCCGAGACCCCATGATTACAAGGCCAGTGATCTTAGCAGGTTTGTTAGGTTACGAAATACATTTGGCCATTTCAACCACAGGAGAATCACCACTTACTCACTGAACAGCAGGAAGGCTGTTCTGAACGTGCTCGTAAGTAGAAAATAAAAAAGGTTGGTCACCCTTCCCTCCGGCCTTCACCTAACTGACCAGCGATATTACCAACATCTCTGTCTGTAGTCACGTACAAACCTCAAACAACTTAATATCTTAGCAGCAAAATGCTATACAGAATAAAACAAACCTTTAATACAAATTTGTATAGCACTCGTGCATGATTCAGATCATATTACAAATTGTAAAGGACGTGGTTTTTGTCAAGTTCGTCTGGTTCTGTAAGCTATGAAGCTACATCATGGAGACGACCTGTATTAATTGGTTTGTAAAATGCTTGCGCGTTAATACGTTATTAAGCTATAATTAAGGCGGTTATGAAAGCAAATTGGTAAGAACGGCGGGAGGTATGGGAGAGGCAACACTGCACACTATATTGGTGAACAGCGTTTCATAGCGGAGGAAACCGTTGAGGAGGGAGGCTGGAGTAAACTCATTAGACTCTAGGAATCTAGCTCCAGTAAATGAGACGAAAAGTGGTAGGAGAGGGTGAAGGGTTGTAGAGGAAATAGAAGTTGTGGGAAGGGAATGAGGGTTCTACTCTTGCCACTCTAAAGTTTGCTCAACCGGGTAATTATAATGAACGTTCGGAATTACCACAACGACAACAGATTTGCGTAAGCAATTTGGCTGCTTCCAAGTAGGAAAGAATTTTTGGGTGTATCAGTTTCAATAAACAGACCTATACGCTCACACAAAGGTAACGTGTTTAATATCTTTTTTATAAACAACGTCTCTTTGGTAATTTCGAGGTCATGAATTAAATATTCACTTTTCTGTCATCGTATTTATTTACGGTGGACAATGGTTGCCGTGAAGTTTCAGGCTATCTAAATACACTGAGATGGCAGGTTCAAATCCCGATCGTTTCGGCAAAGATTTTTTTTATAAATTGAATTCATGAGTTACTTTGTAAATTAAGAGCTGACGTCCGCCTAAGAAATTCATGAAAAGCGCATACTGAATTTAGAAAATGTGTTTGACAAGATGGGAATAAACTTTATGTCAAGCCGTATGACCAATTAATGCTCTACTAGAGTGAATTATTAGCAATTGGTATAATTTCCAAATGTCGAAATGTCTTAGAAATGTTTCGTTTTAATCTGGCATTTATTAGTCTAAAGTAACAATATGTGGCATATTTTCCATAAATTTGTTGCATTTCATTATTAGGACGATAACACATCACTGACAGATCTAAAAAATTTTTAAGAATTCACATTTTATGCAAGCCTATTTCCCTATATCTTAATTAGATGTGTACTGGACTCTCTTAACATCGATATTCTTTGCTGTGAGAAATGGAGTCGATCCCATAAATTTAGAAAAGTTTATTAAACTTTATGCTGATATCGGTGAAACGTCTTATCCCAGTACACTTTGAATACAGAAACAATGCTGGATATGAGATCCTGTATTTGAAAATGTACTGAACTAATTATTATATTCATAAGTGATCGGCATTCTGTTAGGTTTGTAGTCGATAAATACTGGGGATATTTTTCCTACTGAGTTCTTTGCATATGAGCCAATTCATTCATAAGACATCTCTGGGCAGACAGGCGAACTACACCCACGCACAGATTATTGTCTTCTTAATCTTTCTCACGGTAACTAAATCAAACTCACTTTACTTTGTTTATGTTGGTAGTTGTTGTTACCGCCCTTTCTTGCAATGCGTAATGAACGCATCCCAAACAGCACAATAACGCCGTCGGCCATCGCTACCAGAAACGTGGGAAAAAGATTGCCGGTAAAGGTGCAGAAATGTAGAATAGCATGTGGAGTTTGTGTTTCGCGTTTTGTGTGCGTTGATATCGGAAAACTGTATTTCAATACTGAACTTGCAGAAACAAAGAGAAAAGTTATTTGAGCGTCAATTTAAATATCAACAGTTCGGTTTTTGGAGTGCAACCTTCACAGTGATATTAGGCCTATAGCGTCACCGGTGTTTGTGTGTTTTTAATACAGTGTGTAACATCTGGGCCATAATATTGTTCGTCCATCATAAGAAAGTTTGTTGTTTCTACCAAAGACGTATCGTGTTTATGAATTACCGTGTTTTTATCGCTTGTGATAAATGTGAAGATTTTACGTGTAAAGTTAGTTAGTTAGTTTGTTAGTTGTTTTCCTTCTTCTTCGTGAGATATATAGGCCCACAGGATATGGAGAAAACAGAATGGGCATTTATTAAGAGTCCTTCATGATGCTGGTAAGTAAAAATATTTATCATTTTTTCGAAGTACAGTAGCCGGCACGAATATGAACGCTTGATAGAATCCGATGAGGTGTCGGTCGGTCAAGTCTGTATACTCTAAAAAAAAAATTGTAACTGTTTCAAGACACCGGAATCAAATTTTCATCATCTAAACTAGTACTTTCTTTTATTAACAATATGCACAGGGTCCTAAATTTTGGAAAGAAAGGTAGATCACCCAAAAATTGCACACACCAATACTAGGCCGATCGTTCAAGGACAAGCTTTCAGATATTCATTCCGTGCCTGTAATCAGTAACTTTACCGACAATCAATACGAATAAATATATGTCACTGTATGTAATTAAATACAATGAAGGTAAGATGTCAGGTTCTCACGGTGGCGAGTATGAAGTTGACTGTCTCCTAGTCCAGTAGAAGTTTACCGATGTCTCAGATACGCTTCCTGTCTCTATTAGGTCAATAACCTCCGTCATCGTAGCAAGCATCTGTAAAACATGCGTAACAGCACAGAAGACAGTCATCCAAATATAATGAAAATCCCATATAATTAATGCAGACATGACAATGCTCTGGGAGCATCACGAATCCTAGTCTTTTATAATTCTGCATAAAGTGTTGTTCTTTTAGTCTGTTGATTCTCTCTCCTGCTCTCGTTATTTTCCGCACACTGAATGTACCGAACGTATAGTTCGATTTGTCTGTTGGGTCAGGTTACTGACAGTTTGGAGAGTTTCATCTTGCGCATTTCCCAGTTTCGGGCTGTGTTGATGGTATTGTCAAATCGCTAGCAAACTCAGCACATCCGTGCAGTAGCGTATTTACTCTGTGTACACGCCAGAGGCGAAGCTGCCGGACTCATAACATTTGCTTTCTGGGTCCCAGCGAACGATTCATGCGGGAGAACGCCAGTATCCAAACCCGTTAACGCAGTTTGAATTTGTTCGCAAATTCAGTTGTGTGCCGAGAACCAACAGCATATATGAGGGTCATATAGACCAGGTTTGCTAAGCATTTCGCCTCTGAACATAAACTTATGGACATGGCAGCCCTGTTCCTTTCCCCATTCCTCCTCTGGTAGAC